TTTTTTATGAGACCGACTGTTGTTACTGTTTCAATATTTTTACTTAGGGGGTGTTAGTGGGACGGGGGGTTTGAAACTTTGTGGGCTGGCTGTCTGACAGCACAACAAAAGTGACTTCCGGGTGCACCCGGGGGTCACAGTGGGCGGGCCCGGGGGGGGGGGGTTTGGGGAAACATCCGCAAAGCGGCAAAACCTTTCCTTCTCGGGAAAGGGGGCTTGAGCAGTCATGGCGTCATATGCAACCCCGGAAAGTCGTGCTGAGGGCCCAAAATCCTTGCGCATCAAAAGGCAGCCCAGGGGGTTAGGGGGGGCATCCCTCCGCATTTTGGGCCGACCCGCCAGCATGGGGATGATGTCTTTACAGCAATTTCGGCCATCACCATCCACCCCCTTATTTGGGGTTGGGTGGCCTCAGTAAAATTTCCCGGGGGGCTTTTCTCGAAACCGGGAAACGCAAGCCAGGGGGCTTTCGTTCCGGTTTTTGACATTCGGCCCAAAACGCTGGGGAAAGATGTCAAAGAAAAGGCGTTTGGCGACTAAGCCCAAAATAAGCCTAAAAAATTTCCCCCTTTTAAATTCCCCCCCCCAAAAAAACCCGAATCTTACACAAAAACGCTTGAGCTGCACAAAGGGCCCCATATCACCCTGGGGGGGATCCACTGCTGCAACAGCACACGGAAAAGTTTCTTGTTCCCCTTGGGGTATCAAATAGAGCCTGAACAGTCGCCCGACTGGAAATTTCAGGGCCCTGGCTCTAAACTATTTTTAAAGACCGGGGCAAAAATAAGGGGGGAGGGTAATGGACGATGACCGGCCCCCTGGTGGGGCGAGGGGGTTTAGCCACAAGTTTTACCCAAATTTCGCTGGGGCCCTTTGATGCCCCGGGCCCCTTTTTTACGCTGGCTGAGGCACCATTGCGGGACCAGCAAAAAATTGGACTAACGGCATGGCCATTTCGTGTTTATTCCCTGCGTCAATTTTTTCAAATGCAAGCCGGTCACGAAATGGGGAAAAAAGGGGCAGAGCAAGAGATGGTATGCACTGGCTACAATTCAAAACAGAGTCAAAAAAAACTCCCGCACCACCGGGGATAGGTTTAAAATGCTTGTGATAGAAAATAATTTGCGCAAAAAACAAAAAAAAGGGAAAAGTGGGAAAAACTCTGAAAACAAAATTAAAAGATGTATGCAAGTGAATGTACTACAGGGAAGTGCCCAAAATGAGGCTAAGGAAAAGTAATAAATTTTACCAGGAAATTTGGGAACAAAAATTTTTTTGAAAAGGAGTTGAACTGGGAAACACGGTAGCAAAAATGCACAAAATCAAAATAAATCAGGGACTACAAAAACACTAAACTGTGCTTTTCAAGCACAGTTTTTTAAAAAATTGCGGTGCTAGCAGTTGCAAATTGAAACGCAAAAAAAAAGGGTAATTCACATTTCACAAGGGGAATTGGCCAGAAAAGATATCAGAGTATGGAATAGTGGCCAAAAAAACACAAAAAAAAAAAAACACTGTCCAGAATTTTCTTATTGCACACAAAAAAAAAATTTAAAAAAAAATGCCCAAATTTTTAATTTTTAAAAAATATGGCAAAGGTTTTTAAATGGTGTTAGCAGGGTTTTTTCAGGCAAAAAGAAAAAATTGTCAACCTCCCAAAGGGCAAAATTTTTAAAATTTTCTTCACAAGGAATTTTTTGGGAATTAATGGTTAAAAAAAGCAGGTACCCAAAAATACCCAATGACTTGGGGAACAAAATAGCAAAAGCCAAAGCCCCAAAAGGTGAATATTTTACTGATAAAACATAGAAATATGTAGAGGGAAATAAAAGGGGAAAAAATAAGAAAAGTTTTAAAGGGGTAGCACAGATTGTATCCCCTGCAGGTAGAATAAACAAAAACTTAAGTCTTTAAGTTTTCACCCTTTTTAAAAGGAAAAAAAAACTAACAAACAAAAAAAATTTCAAGGGGTCAACAATCTGTGGCTAACTTTAGGTGCAAAATAACAAAAAAAACAGCCCAAAAGGAATTACATGAAAACTGTATGTGGGGGTAAAATTTTAAAAAATGGGTTTAAAACTGAACCATTTAAATTTAATAACGAGGTGCAAAAAGCAAATAAAATAAATGGGGAATTTTTAAAATGTAGGGGGGCAAAAAAAAATTTACCCAAAAATTTTAACTTGTAGGTAAGGGGGCAAAATGTGCCCCGATGACCTGAACAATTTACTGAATAGGCCTTCCCGAAATAACTGTATTGGGGGCAGGAAAAGTTAAATATTTTCACCCAAAAAATTAGGAAATGTAGGAAAATTTATGTTTACCAACTTTGAGTTTAGATGAACGAAGGTCGGGTGCCTGGAACTTTCAGTGATGGCCCCCTTAAATAACACAAAACCCCCCGTAAACAAATTTTTATATGCTATGGGGCTTCAATGTCGTAGAAAAAAAAATTTTCAGAATGGACTTGGGGAAAAACAGGAAAGACCGGGGGAACTCGTGGAGGTATAAGAATTAGAAACGTTGGGAACCCCCCGGGGTGAAACACACTGTGGGGTTGGTTTTTTTAAAACTGGCAAAGGGGTGTTTGGGCGCGTTTAAAGACCCGCAGCTTCAGGGACAAAGGAGAAAAAAACATTTTCTTTCACTACTCGAACGGCTAAAAAAAAAAAAGCTTTAAATGAAACTTTGAAAATTGGGAACCCAGTAAGTTTTAAATGTAACAAATCACTGGGGGGAAAAAAAACTGGGGATGAATGGGAATAAAACAGCAAGGGAAAGGGAAAAAAAAAAAAATTTTTAAAATGGGGAAAAACAAAAAAAAAAAATGCATGGGGTGGAAAAATAAATAAAACGTGGTGTTTTTAGACACTATGATGAGTCCCGACTGCTGTTTTGACGCTGGGAAATTTTTGGGTTAGGGGGTAAACCAACTGGGTTTTCCCCTGGGGGTTAAGCCAGGTAAAAACTTCTTGGAGGGGGGGGTGGGGAAGGAAAACAACACACATGGACGGCGAGACGGACTTTGTTGGCGGGCGGAAGGCTGGTGTGTTTACACGCTGATTTGGGTATAAACCCAACCCCCGAGCCCGCCTCGGGGTCACGGGGGGGGCCACACGAACCAACACCTAAACGACCTCAAACCCCTACTTTTTTGTAGCTGAAAGGGCGGAGGGGCGCTGTAGGGGGCAGGAAATGGTGCTGGGGAGTGTTGAAAGGGGTTGGGAGGGGAAAGGGGATGAGGTTTAACAAATGACTCTAAGGCTGGAGATGATGCCGTGACCCTATGTCCCCCATTTTTTGGGGAAAAAACTAGGCCAAGATTACTTGGGTTCCCCTAAAGACGCTGGGGGTAACAAAATAACTCTTTAGGCCCCGCAGGTCGTTGGATGACGACGGAAGATGTTACTGGCCCTCGACCGATGGGGGTTTACCCCCCCCCCACCCTGAAAAGGCTCACAAAGCCGCATCCCCCCGCTGCCACCAGTTATTGCTTGGGTTTTACGCGAAACCGGTTTATTTCCCCATGAAAGGGTTCGATAGCAATGATAAAGGCCTTTGGGCTAGAAATTTTGGGTTTTTAAACGGGTAGGAGTGGGTTTCAACAAAGGGGAGTGTGAGGGGGTGACCGCAAGCCAGTCCGTGGAGGGGGAGTACTTGTTTACTTTAAAAACGGGCGAGGCCCGGGGTGAGGGAGGGTGGTCTGTGTTTTCCCCCCCGACCTAGGTAGGGCCCACAGAGGGGAGCACTGAAACCCTAAAAATGAACTTGTCAGAGCAGACGGCTAGGCGGGGTTTCTCTTTACAGTACAGGCTGTCTACAAATAACCCCATAAATTTCCAAAAACGTTAATACAAATGAAAGTCACCGTTTTAACCAAAAAAAAAGGTTTTGAATTTGTTTTTTCTCATTGTTGGGAATGTGTTTCTGCAGGATTTTTTTATACTGTCCCTAAATTCCACTTTGACCCATTTTTTCATATGTAGGCCCCACCAGCTTTCCTCACTAGATTTGAAGGCCCCCCTAGAATTTTAGGGCCCTTTTTAATTACGTCAATAACCCCCGGTGTGTAAGCCAAAAGTATAAAGTCAGAAACCCTGAAAATTTTTGGAAAAGTTCCCCCGGGAAAAAAAATTTAGTCATGGAGAAAGTTAAAAAAAACCCGGGAGGCTCTGTATTTGAAAGACGCTTGCCCTTAAGGGAAATTTTTTTTCATAAAAAGACAAACGCTGTATTTTGCGGATTCGTAAATGAAACACTGTAAAGCGGGGGGGGTACTGATTTTTAGTATTGATTTTACAATTCTGTTTATACTTTTTAAAAATATGTACATTTAGGTATGCTATAATTTCAACCAAATTTAAAAATGAAAAAAAATAATATAAAATTGTGGAAAAAAAAGCAAAAAATGTGCCCCTTTTCCCCCTTAGAAATTTAAAGGGAAAACCAAATTTAAAACTTGTAATTTAAAACCCAAAATTTGTACAAAAATAATAAGAAAAAAAAACTGTTTTTACCCCATTTTCATGTTGCTGAACTTGCAGGTAGGAGGCAGAGGAGAGAATTTAAAGTTTATTTAAAAATTTTTTTTGAAATTTAAATTTTTTGTTTCAAAAAATACCTCACGTATTGGGGTTTAAAACTTTATTTTAATCACCAAACTGCAGAAACTAAATAAAAGAAGAATATTTAGAAGCTGAAAAATTTCAGTTGTAGCAACAAGAAAAATTTGGTATTCATAATTCATGATGCCCATGGAACATAAACCTGCACGTTAACCCTTGAACTGTCCAAACATAGATCTACGCTCACTCGAGTAGCACTCTGAACGTAGATCTACCTTTTTTTACACAAGTTAGCACGTAAAATCGAACATACATCCACGTTCGGAGCGCCATTTGAGTGAGTGTAGATCTACATTTGGACAGTTTAAGGGTTAACCTTCATTTATAAAAATAATTGTCTGTATTAAGCACAATTAAAGATGTTTATCCCAACACAGGGAGCATTACATCCAGTGCCCATTGATTACCAACCACAAGCAACTTGCTGCCTGGTCCCACTGCTGGGCCACTGACCACAGGCAACTTCTTGGCCAGTCCCACTGCTGGAATTACTGACCACAGGCAACATCTTGGCCAGTACCACTGCTGGAGCACTGACCACATCGCACTCAGTTCCACCGACAGCAAAGTTTCACTCACGGACCATTGAGGATGGTAAGCTAATTTTTATATTTGGATATTTTCACTCATTTATATCTGAAAAGGTAGAGCTCCAGCTCTTGATAACTGCCTTTGCTCATCATTTATTTGTAAGGTAATCATTAGATATAAATATTTCTTATAATAATGATATTTTGATTTGACATGATACAGTGGACCCCCACCAACGAAGGCATCGTCTAACAAAAAAATCACCCAGCAAAGCATTTTAGCGTAAAAAATTTGGCCCAAAAACTCGACTAACAGCATTTGTCCCAAATGTGTCTGCCTGTCTGTCCAGCTGAGCATGCCTCAGCTGTCTTGCCTTCACCTAGTGTGCCATTGTTTACAAGCCAGGGTGGACGGTTTCACGCATACATGCGATATATTTTGTATTATTCCATTGTTTTTAGTGCTTGTAACTGCTAAATAAACTGCCACGGGCCCAAAGAAAGCTTCTAGTGCCAACCCTGTGGTAAAAGGGTGAGAAATGCTATTGAAATACTATTGTACCATAGTCATCTGTTGCTGCACCACCATCAGCTGCTGCTCCTGCACCATCATCAGCTGTTGCTGCACCACTGTCAGCTGCTGCTGCACCACTGTCAGCTGCTGCTGTACCATCAGCTGCTGCTGTTCCACGGTCAGCTGCTGCTACACCACCATCAGCTGTACTACTCGAAGATGTGGAGAGAGTGTTGTTGATGTGGATTAATGAGAAACAATCACTGAGAAACAACTCCAGCTGGGGCCACTTGTGCATCAGTTTGGCTGTCTCTCTCGATGCATGAGGAAGATTCTGGTCATGCATCCTAACATTTCACTTGTTTTCCATTGTTTTTGTGGGTTTTTTGCAGTGCAACTGCAAAATAAGTAACCATGGCTCCAAAGAAAGTTCCTGTGGTAAAAAAAGTGAGAAACACCATCGAATTTTTTAAAGCATTAAAGTGATTGAAAAATATGAGAGTGGTATGGGGGGTTGCTGGAACTTGCCAGGTTTGTATTGGAAAAACAAATTAAAAAAAAATTTTACATTACCTTTAAAACAAAAAAAAGAAACAAATAAAGGAAACAAAATGTTGAAAAAGGAGAAACCCTTTTTAATGAAACAACGGTCCCCAATAAGGGAAAACAGAGGGAAAAAGTTTTTTCTTATTGTAAAATTAAAGGGAAAAAAAAACAATTAGTGGGAGACAGTGTTATGGAATTATTTTTTTGGGGGGGGGCCCAAGGCAATTTTACATGGGGAAACCCTTTACGGGAAAAACCCCCCCTGGAAAAAGTGCTGCTGGTAGGGGAATTTTTTTTAGGGCCATAAAAGGCGGGTTTGAGAGATTTAAGGGGAGATTAGTGGTTGACTTTTTGGGCCCCGCGCGGACCCAAAAAAAAAAATTCAAAAAATTATTAAAAATTGATTTAAATTTTTCCCAAAAAAAAACTAAATTTTCCTGGTACACGCTGGTAAATTATTTTCCTTGTACATTTTTCTAAAAGGAATTAAAAGCCATTTATAACGGGGCTTTGGTGACAGCCCTGACGGGGACATTTCGCGTAAAAGGGGGTGACTAAAGCTTTGTTGACTTTTTTTGTTGCTTTTTTCCCCCGTGTTATTTTATCTTTTTCCCGTACTTTTTTATGTCAATAAATAAAAAAATTCACCATCTGAGATCATTCCCAAAATTTGGGTGGAGTTTAATGTATAAAGGAAAACCAATGGGGAAACCCCCGGGGAATAAGTGCAAAAAAAAGGGCCCGAAAACCCCCCCACCCAAAAAATTTTCCATACCCCGTTTAATTCAATTATAAAGGTTTATTTAACTATCAAAATTTGACCCTATTATGATATAATGAAATAAAATTAATAGCATATAAAACCAAAAAAAGTACACCTAAAAAAAAAAAAAAAATTTTGAAATAATATGACCCCCCCGAGGAATAAAATTTCCTACCCGATATTTCCCTAAAGGGTGAAGAGGGGGCCCCGCCCTCTTTCATATGAGGGAGAAAAAACGGTTTTTACAAGGGTTTTATCTGTAAAAAAACATTTCGTAGGCCCGGGGAAAAAAAAAGTGTAAAAAAAAAGCGAATTTTTTCGGGGAAAAATTTTTTTTCCCGGGCAGGGGGGGTCCGCGCGCTGGGGGCCTTTATCTCGAAATTTAATTATTTCCCTTTTTGGGGGGAAACTGCATTTTTATTTATGAATGAATTGACTTGTTTTCACAACAAACATGGGAAAATGATCCCTTTCAAATTTCCCTTTTGGGAACTATCCCCAAAATTTTAGATTTTGGGGGGAAACCAAGACCGAATTTTCCCAAATTTTTATCAAAAAATTTATGAAACTTTTTTTTTTTTTTAGCAAGAAAAAGGGTTTTTTATTTTAAAATTTTGTCAATGACAATTGATGGAATTAGAGTTGTTCTAGCGGGCAGCAAGGGGCAAAAACTTGTCCGATTTACCCTGACAAACTGTGCCCTCCCAAAAATGAAATTTTTTCCCGTAGTTTTTTTTCGAAAATTTTGCATTTTTTCTTTTCCCTTTTTTGGGCCCGATATGATTAAAAATTTCACCCACAGCATACTCGATAAAACCTTCTAATATCCCCCCCAAAAAATGAACGTTTCGGCCCAAATAAAAAAAAGTTCTTTAAAACCGTGGGGCCCAACATAAACCCCTTTAAAACCCTTTGAGGGTGGGGACGGGCCCCCTCCCCCAAAACTCGTTCTCAGGGTGGGCCAAAATTTAAAAAAAAAAAAAAATTTTTTTTTCCCTTATAAAAAAAATAGAGTTTTTTTTTCAAAACATTATGGGCAAAACCCAAAAAAATTTTAACGTAAATTTACTTCCCGAGTAGGAAAGGTGTGAAAATTCCCAAAAAATTGAACAGCAAAATGGTAACATCCCCGGGCCCCTTGCCGTCACCCGGTATTTTTTATTTATTTTTTTATGTACATTTTAAATTTTTTTTTTAAATTTTTTTTTTTTTTTCTGATAATTTTAAAAGGCCCTCTGAGGCCAAATGATCAGTTTTTTGAAAGTTATTTCTTTTTCAATACCACAAAAAGGGGCGAAAACACTGTTGTCATTATTTTGTTTACAAAAAATTATTTACACAAAAAAAACCCAATATAAAATGTTGTTTATTACTTTTTTTTTTAATATTTTATATACACATAACAGCCAGGACATTTTTTCTAAAAATTCGGGCCCTGGGGAACTCTTTGAAACTTTGGTTTGTCATGCACAAAAAAAAGGTGGGTTTTGGGGCTTTTTTTTTCCTAAAAACCTTTTTTTTTAAAACGGAGGGGCCCCCCTTTTTTCCCCCCCTTTTTAGGACCCCCCCCGCCCCAACCCCCCCCCGGCCCCCCCCCCCCCCCCCCCCCCCCCCCAAATGACCCACCATGCTTCGCGGGGAGGTAGTTGTTGATAATTTGGTGGGCGGTCAATTGCAGGTCATTTCCTTGGTACTTGAATACTATTTTTATAAACAGACAAACAAAAATTCCCCCGTTTTTGGTGGTTTGTTTTCTGGTGCTCTCTTATACATATTTAAACATTGAGCAGGGGAAAAATGTCCAGAAAGGGAAAAAAAACAGTTTGATGTACCACTTTAAAAACTTTGCGAAACAATCACCCAAACCCCAATCTGCATGTCACATTTGTCCCCCTGAAGGGCATGTTAAAGGGTGTAATCAATCCCCAAGCTGCGGGTTTTTAGAAGGGGGGGTTTCATTTCTCTCTCTATGCGCCTGCCACTGTCTGCCATTTCATTAGGGGGGAATTGATGAAAACCCAGTGTGACATCTCGTTTTTTCATGCCCCCGAAATGCCATGATGTCTTGGCAGCAAACGCCTGCACCTCACCTCTCCCGAGGCCACAAAAAACCGGGGCATTGTTTTCGTTTTTGAAACCACTGTGCCAAAACACACTGTCATGTTCACTCGCAAAAAACACTGATTTAGGGGCTTGTGTACCATTTAAATCTGTATAAAATATAGGGCCCCTTCCCAAAGGGTTAGGGTTTCCCAAATCATTGTTCAAACCCACATCCCCTGAAAAATGCCCAATAATTTCCCTGGTATTTTGCAATGTATAATTTCCCCCAGTGTACCCCAATAATATCCAAACCAGCCCCACGGTAAAAATTTCAAAAAAGCAAAAACCCAACTTTATCCCAAAGCTTTTCCCTTTTTGTTTTGGTTTTAAATTTGCTTAAAAGAGAGTTTTTCTTTGAACAGAATCAAAGACTCGTCAATTCCCAAGTTTCCCCTGGGGGTTTAAAAATTGGTACTAAATTTTTCTTTTTTCAGATAAAACAAACACTTTCCCTTTAATCTTAAAAACCTGTCAGTTTGTCAGGCCGGGTTTTTTTATCGGGGAAAAGGGAAAAGCATACGTAACATTAGCACAAACGATTCACGGGTTTTTAATATCACTAAAAACCTGGTTTTTTGGGGCAATCGGGGGGTTGTTGCCCAAAGTTTGTTTCCCCCTTTAGTGCTTTACAATGTGGTAAGCATTTTTGTGGCAAAGAAAAGAAATCTCAGCCACAGTTCCCCCTTTCCCCATTGGTGTAGACTGATTTTGGTAAAAAGTATTGTTTTTCCCCGGGTTTTGTACTCGTAGTATGTTTTGCTTTCCATGAAAATTTACTTTTCTTTCAGTGGTTCGTCAAAGAAAAATCGAAACATTCCAGTTTAGTGGCATTGTTCCCAAGTGCACAAGATGGGGCCGTATTTCCACTTTGGCCTTTCCCTCAAAAAATGGGGGGGATTTGGAAAAAAAATTGCAGCTTCCTGCCAATCCCAGGTGCGGTTGCTGGGGGGGTACCGGACAATTTACAGTTTGGTTTTGGTTGTTTGGGGGTTGGTTGTGGGGGTTGTTTTGGGTTGGGGGAAAGGTGGTGGGGGTGGGGGAGTGGGGGAAGGTGGGCCCTTTTTTCTAGAAACGCTGAGGGAGCGGCGTGGGTGGCAGCGTGGGTGGCCCGCATGGGCCCCCTGTGGGGCCTCACCGC